GTACAAGGTAGAGAAGCTCATACAGCCCTGGTTTGCTGCCCACAAAAACGCCTGCAGTGACAATATGGCGCCACCGAATTAAAACATTCCCTATGGAGTGACAGGAAGGACACACAGAGAGAAATCTGCTGTGGAAAATCACAGAGGAAGTCATGCCTGAACATGTCATTTTTGTGCTATTGTCCAGTGATTATGTCACCAAAGATCTTAGATGTTATGAATCCCAAAACAATTTTCACCAAAACGTATCATAATCAAAGACCCTAGGGGCTCACTTTTGAGCACTATTATTCCACATAATAACTGCATGCAGTTGCCACTCACTGATTGAGCAAAGTGGTACAAGGTGACCACCTGGCAGCAAGTGTAAAAATGTACCATTTAAGATGCCCGGCTCTGATTTTAACACCTTTGCTGTGACGGAGGATTACGAAACCCAAATGACAAATGGCTCGGGGCATTCAGGCATTTTTGTCTCCACTGATGGAGCATAGAGCAATTCTGACTTTTCCTTGTTATATAATCCAGAGGAGGACAGACAGACAGAGAGCTCTGGTAGGCGGCCTAGCAGATTAACCAGAGAAATTGACAGACGGGAAGATAGGCATGTGCAGAGGTGGAGTGGTCAGTCAGAAAGAAAGGAAACACACATTCAACTACAAATTAAAACCATTTAAGAAAGTTTCCAGGGGGATAATTGCAGTAAAATGATGCATCTGCAACCACCTACATGCTCTTAAATGTCAACTTTTTCTGAACGTCAACATGTTCACGAGAAATTGGGTAGACAGAATGATGTGGCGGCACACAGATATGCAGGCAGGGAGACATGGTGGTGTGAGATGTGCAGGCGACCCAAAGCAATCATCTGTGGCCTGCAGGGATAATCACTGCAAAGCCCCCCTGTCCCATTCACAGAGGATAAAACCCATTGGATTAATCTGTAGGCCTACAGAATACACACACACACACACACACACACATAGAGATGCCTCACAACACTTACATAACACATGGACCACTCTCGCTCTCTTTTACTTTCCCTCCCTTGTACATGCTTTCCCTTTACATTTACTCCCTCTCTCACTACTGCTTTCAATAACACACACAAAACCTAGAGAGCACACAAATACACACACACATTCTCCATACCCCCCTCCTTTCCACTGTTTCTTCTCCTCTCACATGGACACCTGTCAACATGCTTCTCTGTTCATGCTGTTAATTTATACACATACATGGCGGTGACAGGCGCCTATAGCACAGGACATATTAAAATAGATATGAGTACATATACACATGCTGTACGCTATGCATTCACATGACATACAGGATGAAGAAAGGTGTGTAAAATATTATTGCACAACACAAAACAGGATTCAAGTGCACACAACACACACACAACCACTTCAAAGTCTTATTCAGAACAAAAACAAGAAACTTTAACCTCTCCTTAAGGGTTAGAAAGGCGGCTGATGAGCATCCCTACAGAGTGTAGCTACTGTAACAGTGGTGTGGATCTCTGAGGTCTGCTGAATGTGTAACCATCCTTATAAAACATCAGCAAAGGTGATTTTTTAAAATGTTTTAATATTTTGTGCATTCTTTACATCCATTGTTACTTGCTCGTGGTTTTCTTCTTCACTGCCTTGCTACGTTTGTGGTGTGTAACTGCTACTTGTAGCTCAGCGGAATGTTTATTTCTTGATCAGCATGCTCGTGCGCGTGCAAGATACAAACAAAACGGAGACCCACTTGTAAAAGTATTGCTCCATAGCACTACTAGTAGTCAAATACTCCACGGAGTAACTTTAAAGGGTAATTTCAGTATTTTTCAACCTGGACAAACCCATGTGTTTGTGTCTATGTGACTAATGGAGACTTTTGTTTAATATATTGGTCCAGTATTGAGTGAGCGTCCTGCAGTCGACACTGAAACAGGGCAGCAGTGTAATCCTTATGGGCAATTTTGCGCCACCTAAAGGTACGTCCACTAAAGTGCTTGTTTTTGCCACTCACAGGCTCAGATTATTATTATAAGAATCTGACAACATAGACATCTACAGAGATAGATAGATAGATTTTGTTTAACCAGAGCCAGCAGCTATTTCACTCTTGTCAAAGATACAAGAGTCGCTTGACAAAGTAGAAAATTTTTTATTTAACCTTGCAGAACACGGGAGTTGCTGATCTACTGCTGCCTCAGTCGGTTAGTGTGTTTGTGTTATTGTGTGACTTTGGTGTTTTGAAGGGGAAAAAGTCAAACAATAACAAAATAACCTATTGAGGTAGCGGCAAACCACTGAGATAAAATTTCTATTTTTGTCTGGTGGCTAAGTGAAGTTCAGTGAAGTCATTGTTTTGTGAGTCAAAAGAGTATAGGTCCAGAGTCAAGTCCCAAATCTTAAATTTTCTTTCAAGACCTACAAGTAAAGTATGTCAGTCTGCTGGTCTACACTGTCAAATTGCAACTTTCCCTGGAGAATGGATTCACTGATCACTTTTGTCAAACATCCCGTTTTATCTTCACTCTTGGATAGTTTTTAGATAGAAGTCTAAAGTCAGGAGTCATTGGTATTAAAGTCCACAACATCCTGCAGGGCTTCTAAAAACATCTGCTCCTGCCAGAAAAGATGGAATTAACTAAAGATGGCAAATTGTGGTATTTACAATGAGTTTATTTTGATAAATGATGTGCCACCCAAACATTAACAGGTTTCAAGAGTACAAAACAAATACACATCCCAGGGGATAAAAAAAAAGGTAGCAGTTGTCAAGAACGGACTGCAAATGTGATCTCCCTGCTCGTTTTATTGCTGAAACCTAATAAGTGAGCAACATGCACTGAAAAATAAGATTGTGATCACAGTGCATTCTACCATCTGGCAGTTTTACAGCAGAGTACATTGAACTTCAACAAGGAGAGCGGTACGAAAAGAACAAGATGAATAAATAACATGGGGAATAAATGATACTGTGTGACTGCAGCTTGAAGGGAACGAGAGAAAAGTGTTAGCGCCTGTATTTTCAACAGATGCGGCATGACTGGACCGGAGACTGGTGGTAATTTCTCACCTTTCTGTGAGAAGGGTGATGGATTGGTGGGTGATGGGTGCCGGGGGGGCAGTGGCGGTGCAGCAGGGGTTGTGACAGTCGAGGCAGGAACTGTTTTCTCAACTATTTGTGCACCCAGGCTTCATGTAGGCCATAACATTTCTGCTGTATTACTATAGAGAAGATCACAGAGGAAGACACCTCACTAACTAACTGACCTGACTCAGCTGCAGCCAGAATGCTCTTCACATTGTACTCCCTGAATTTTGCTCTAATACACAACTAGTTAAATGCTGAAAAAAGAAGGGGGGGGGGGGGGGCTGAAATGTGCCCTAATTGAAATATCTGTCTGTTTACTCCTGGTTACAAATAATATCAGGCTGCCTAACAAAGACAACACACACGTGTTGATCTGCTTAAGAGCCGGCCTGAGCTCTTTGTCCTCGCTGACATTAACCCAGGTACAGTGGCAGGACGGGAAGCAGGGAGGGCCAAAGGTCTGTATAATGCTCTTTTTCCTGGAATGCAGGTACAGTTCATTTCTAGAAAAAAAAAAAGTTAATAAAATGACTTGACTTCAATTCCACAACAAAGTCCTTCCTTGAATAATAAACAACAGGCCATCATTCACCTATTTTCAACCATTTCTTATACTTTATAAATCTTGTAACAAGGCTTATTTCACAACACTATTAATTCACTATGACAAGAAAGGCTTTGTTTTTATTTGGTTAAGCAGTCTAAGTGCATTTTGTGAAATCAGAATTTATTACAACTCAACTGTTTAAGGAGAAATGCACGGAGACACAGGAACAAAATTGTGGCAAAACTCTTGGTTTGCCAAACAACAGCAGCGCGTTGGCCTTGGATGCTTTCCACCACAAAGTAAACACCTCTCACCCATTATTGACTCCCTACTCAGCCAGTGTTTTATAAGGCCAATAATGAGCTCTGGCTCTGATCAGGTAGGAAACATTAAGTCGGAGGGATGCGAAGGTCAGACTTATGGAAATCACCAAAGCCTCCTCCATCACACCACCACTGTGGCCAGTGAGTAGGCTACGCCTTTGGGCAAAACAAGAGACCATGAAAAACAATGTCCATGTGAATGTTCACCCAAATAAAGTCTACCAAAATGTGACAAGGTAGAGGACATCACCTCACTGCTTGTTGCCAATGCAGATCAACTTGTGTGAGGTAATTTCACGACCACCGCACCATTTTCTTCACTCTCACAAAGTGACCTGCCTCATTCTGCCTTGTTTCACAATCAGATACACTTCTACACAGCACCGAGAATCGGAGGGTGGCAGTTTTTCTCCCCACGTGTTTTAAAATAAATAAATAAATAAAAAAGGATCCTTTACAGATTTTAATATCATAGCTCTGTGTTTGCCCGCTTGAGCTCTTCCGGAGTGTAATTCTGAGTGCTCCGGAGCTGTCCGCGGTGCTGAACATCATTCACTCTGCAAAAGGCTTTCAGCCCGCGAGTGTAACCCTCCGCCTCACTACACGTCTTTACAAACACGAGAAACAACTTCGCAGAGGCTGCCTTTAATCCTCACAACAAACAAATACTTTAATCTCAAGTGTTTAAGACGGAAGCTCTGACCGAAGCACTGGTTTGTACCACAGAAACACAGAAAACACTACAGCAACATCACAGGAACATTTACGCTGATTTTCCCTTCCGATGCGACTCCATGGGCTTTGTGAACTAGCCCGTGTTGTAAAATGACGAAGACAACAGCTATAACAAACATCTGACAGTAGACCTGTTACAGTAGCTGGAGAAAAACTTTAACAAGCTGTAACAGCCGAACTTTAAAGCCACATAATGAATCATTCAAACTTTAATTGGTGTTGTTCTATATTGTGTTTTTTAACAGTGGACCCAAATGAATAAAACAAAACACACATCCACACACACAAATAGTCAAACCTACCTCTTTCAGTTTCTTCTGCTCTTCTTCTTTTCTTTTGCTTGATTTGTGTCGACACGGGATGAAAATGTCCGTCCGCGCTATGGCTCCACTCAACGGGACTGTCCCCGGTGGAAACACACCGCCCTCTGCTCCACTCCAACTGTAAAGCGCGACGGATTAAGAAACCACAAACTTCCTGTCACTGTTTTACAAAATAAACCCTATACAAAGCAAGCCCTTTTAGACCTTAGAGGGGGCTTTGGTCACCCTAGCAGCACAACAGAAAGTGCACCATGGGATATTTTGGCAAACAGTGCCTCCATGTTGATTTTTACTCCCGAACTTCAGCCTCCAATCAGGCCTAACTGTCAGTTTCATTAACTGGAAGTTGACCCGACACCTACAGGCTACTCTGGTATTTAAAACACCTTTGAACATCCCATGAAATGTAGCCTATGACTATGGCGAAACTAAAACACCCCAGGATCTCCCAGACATCTACTGTCCCTCAACCACAGCGTCCCCCCAACAACAGTTCCGCTCTGAGGTGATTAATAAACAATTAATAGGAATTTCTCCCCAAATGGATTATAGTTGTGTTTTACTATTTCCACCCTCACTGTAGTTTAATAGGCTATGCATGGAAATAATAAATTTCATTCAATTATTAGCTTATTATTGCTGTTGTTATTCTTAAATGTTCGTGTTTAATTTATTGCTAATATAATGACACCATTTTATGTACATTTAAAAAACATTCACAATTGTGTCATTTAGCCTTCATCTTTTACTCTCTTTTAATTTGATGGGTGTGTCATCGAACTTCCTGCCTCGTTGTGTTGAATTTGATGGCGATCACAAAATGGCCGCGCCCTCTGACGTCAGAGGGAGTGGATACAAGGTTTTGTTTGTTTGTTTCCTTTTGTTGAATACAGAGGTTCAGACAGCCACCTGCATGACATCAGTTCATTACTACACAACAGAGAACACCTGACCTTCTTTCCATTTGTCTGCGCAGAAGATTACCTGTCGGGACCCTTCAAAGTTGACACACACCATCTGTGTCTTCTCTTTTAATACAACACATTTAAATTCTGTTCAATAAATTCTTCATTATCACAAATGTGATAAAATGTATACAAATTTTAGACCTTAAATGCACCACGTATCATGATCCCACATCACACCCCATCTCGTTGATGCTCAGCTCACAGCACTGCAAATCCTGCATGGCACTATAAAGCATGCCAATGTAGCCGACTAATACCCACCCCAGTGTATAACAGCATGTGTACACATACTGTACATGAGGGCCTACATGAGCACAGTTCCCAGACAGAAAGGTTCTTTTAGATTCTCCTCTGTGAGTCCTCCTAAAGCAGTTTGGCCCTGGAGTCCTTGACTTTACATAATCAAATACATGGCCAAAAATGTTTGGCCTAGTACAACTTCACCAAACATCCCAAAATATGATGTATTACTTTAAAAGAGTTGAAGGGCTTTAAGGAAACCAATAGTAGTGTTAAAATTTGATTCACGATTCTCTGGCGCCCATTGTGAATCCTTTTACTGCTGCCTTTGACACATGGTTCAGCTCCATTTTCTCTGCACTAAACTGCCCCTCAAAACATACATACATATCCATCCATCCATCCATCCATCGTCAACCGCTTTACCTGCGTACAGGGTCATGGGGCCAAAACATATTTTTATGTTACATATTTTTTTTGACCCAGAAAAATTATATTCACAATAATAGGTGAGTAAAGTTCCATTGTTAATTGTTTAATGTAATTTATTTGATAATTACATAATGGAAAATAGTTAAAATGCCTTGAAGCAACATCATACCATTATGGAATCCCACCATGGGATTTTTTGTTGTTGTGCATTAGGTTTATGTACTGCTCAAAAGCAAAACAGTTAACATAATTTTCTCTCATTTTAGATTAATTATACATTTGACAATGTTAGTTGTAATAACACTGTAATTGTTTTACACTGGATATTTTAACCTTATGCTTTGTTATCCTCACTGCAGAGAATATGCTTATATGGTGTTAAACACATTGTTCTCTAAAGACAGCCTCCACTGTTCTGTCTAGCTGTAGCTGTTCCACATGTGGTTCCGATCATAAGCCCATTGAAGAAACAGTTTGACCTACCTCCCAAATGAATGATCCTAAAGACAATCAGTCTGAACACAACAAATCTCACAGTACTGCCATTGATTGAAGCAGGATTGATTTCTCTCCTCGGGTGTTCTGCTTTCAAAATTAGTGCAAATTTATGTATAACACAGTAGATCCAGTAAAATAAGACATTTATTTGAGAGCAGTTTCTGTGTGTGTGTTACCGATGGTAAGGCTGTTACAGTGGCATGGAGGAGCTCTGAAAAGGTTCAACAAGATTCCTTTGAATAAATTTTCACTTTAAGCTTGATTGCTTGCTTGATTTAACACATCATACTCACCAAAGCCAGATATGTAAATGGAGAAGTTACCAGTAGTCTTAGTGAATACCACACTGCATGTATTATCAGACATTAACATGCACTGTAAACCTGAAGAAGTTCAGAATACTCAAAATATTTGTGGAAACTGATTACCTCAAACTTTTGGTAGTGGTAAGTGGTAATAATATTTTTGAGTAAACCTTAACTTAAATATAATACATTTTTAAAAAACGTTAAATTTCTGCTTACTAAATTACATTGATTGACTGATGCTTATTAAAATTGAATTCCACTAATTCTTTACTCAATAAATGTAATTGTGCACAACTTTATACTCTGAGGGAAATCTACTCAAAGAAACGTCTTCCAGTATCTTCAACCAAGTCCAGTTGCCCTTGACTTTAACCTTCGTTGGATAACTATGACCTGGATGACTGAGAATCTTCATAGACATACTACTAGTAAACTTAAAATTTACAAATAGTAGTCCTCAAAAATACAAATACAACTCCATTATTACAATTCAAATTCCCTTTATTAGTATCATCTTCTCACAACATCTTCTTTCATTTCTACATTTAACAGACACAAAATAAGGCACATCTTGCATAGAGATGAATAGAGTAATAAAGTAATTGACTGCTTGATCAGATAATTAACCAGCAATAATTTTGATAATCAATTTGTTATAATTTGCGCTCCGGTAACTTGTATTTGTTTTCTGTACCTACGGTCCGTACAGAGCTTGGTAAGAAGGCCTTTAGTTATGCTGCCCCATCTACCTGGAACACATTGCAGACTGATTTGCAGTTGCAAAATCTGATCCCTTTTGGTGAATTTAAACACCGCATGAAAGACTTGGAAGTAGACGCTATAAATTGTTGTCACTGCTTTCAAAATAACTAAATCCTTTAAACTTACGGTATGTATTAATTGTACTTTTAAGTGGTCTAATGTTGTTTATTTATGTTGTAAGGGTCTTGTTAATCGTTCTCTGTTGTTGTGCGTGTGCTCGTGTTTCATATTTGTAACTGTGCTTTGCTAATATGCTGCTATTTTGGCCAAGTCTCTCTTGGAAAAGAGGTTTTAAATCTCAATGAGATCATCTGGTTAAATAGAGGTTAGACAAAAAAATAAAAATAAAAAAAGCTCGAGGTAACTCAGCGCTCATGTACACTTGAGAGGACAGATCTATTAAAACAGATTACAACAGATATAGGCTAAGTTAAATGTAAACATATTAAATACTTCCCATAGGAAAGCAAAATCCAAGATGAGATCTCATATATTTCTCTATGCATTTCTGCCTCATTATGCAAATGAGGAGGGAATGCATCAAGGGGTGAACTTCTCCCCTATTGGTGGACCAGTCAAACAGCAGAGGTCGACTCTACTTGCACACATCAACAAGCCTTGCTCCACAGTCAGATGGCTTCCTTCAGTGAACTGAGGTGGTTAGCAACTCTATTTGAAGACAATACTTCCAGCCATGTCATTTTTCCTTTTCGTGTGGACATTCTGACAGTGTTTCAGTTTGCGGCATGCACGGACACAGAACTGCGGTAAAGGGAGCCGTTGTTTGTGAGATACACACGGTCAGCTAGCAGCTAAATCTGGAGTGCACTCGTGTCTGACCCTGTGTGGTAAATTCAGTTTTAACGGCGCAGAGCGAGCTAACAGGCAGAGTCAGAGACTGTATTCTGTCAGTTTCTCTCTTTACAAAGACAGTTGCAGTTTGAGAGTCTATCAAAGAAGAGAGGCTATCAAATCTCATTAGTACGCGATACGACAACGTACTTTCTCAAATTACATCGGACTTTGTGAAATTAGCAAAAAGGTCCGACACAATGTCCGGTTTTCAAAATAAGTTGTTAACACAACGTATATACAGTATGAAAATAGGATTAATTGGATTATATTCACAGGAAGTATAAAACATGTTACATGACTATCACATTTGAGTTCAGGGTAACTCTGACTACATAAAGATTTGAAATTAAGCATTCTTGGCTTAAAAAAATGGCTGGTAGTATTGTCTTCAAATAGAGTTGCTGAAAGGAAGGAAGGAAGCCATCGGACATCTGAGTGTGAGGAGCAAGCTTGTGGTGTCCACCAATAGGGGAGAAGTTCACCCCTTGAGATACAGCTTCTCCTCATTTGCATAATGAGAAAGAAATGCATAGAGAAATGTAAAAAGGACAGAAAGAAATTAATACCATGGGGGAAATAAATAGGGTAGAAAATGCAAAGGAAGAATAAAACAGACAAAAATATTAAAAGACACAAATACATGTAAAAAGAAGTCATTAGTAAATAAAGTTAGATAAAAGATTATAAAGGACAATAAATAAGGTAATTCTTGAATGAATGAATAAAGAAGTTAATTAAAAGAGAAACATCTATGTCTCATTGTCAAAATAACAAAATATTTGAAAAGTTCCAATCTGGTTTCAGGAAGTACCACAGCACTGAGACTGCCCTGTTTAAAGTCACCAATGACCTTTTAATGTCTGCTGATGAAGGTATGTGCTCAATCCTGGTACTCCTGGACCTTAGTGCTGCTTTTGACACCATTGATCACAACATCATGTTAAACAGACTGAGGCACTGGGTGGGGATCTCTGGTACTGCCCTAGAATGGTTTTCATCCTACCTGTCAAATATGAAGTTTTGCGTGTCTTTAAACAACTATGTCTCTTCGTTCTGTCCAGTTAAATATGGT